ACCCGTCTTGGATAAAACCGTGATTGTTAATTAAGTAAAAATGTAGAATCCAGGACAGCCCTTGGCTGATGCATCAGTGATGCGTTTACTGGAATGACCGAACCCTGAGTGGTTTGCATTTGATTCTGACTGAGGATGAGTGCCACAGGGAGCGTGATTCAGTGGTTAATAGGAAAGGTATTTTAACCGTCCCTTGTGGCCATGTGGGATGTGAAATCACCTGAAGAGCGTACAGTGCAGAGCCAGGGTCTCCTTCAACTTCCTATGTTACAAAAGAGAACAGACATTCCAGCCTCTCAGGAGAATTTATTTTGCCTTTTTATGAGCTTCCTCTGGAACCCGGAGAAGCCGGATGTGCTTGCTGGTAGGTAGACACTGTTTTGGATCATGAAAACTGCGTTTGCTGCTGCTGCTTGCGAGCGTCGGCGGCACCGCTGGGGAGTGCGTGCGGGTTTGCAGCCTGGCACGGCGGGAGCCGCAGAAGGCGTGCGGCCCGGGCCGGGCTCTGCCTGCAGAGAGGCGGCTTCGAGCATCTCCACCCGATCTGTGCTGACCTCCCTTGCCCGTGCAGTTGAAAAAAATATTAAAACGTATCATCTAGAAAGCGGTGGTGGAAGCGATGTTACAGAAACTGTTCTGGATACCTGGATTCATACATAAATCAGTAGTTCTGACTCTGAACTTCAGAGGTGTTCCAGAAGATGGGAAACCCAAAAGCATGTATGCATCTCAGATAACCAGTTCCAAAGGAAGGGGATCCACGGGGATGTCTAGTAACTGCATACTGAATTGTATCTATTTAGAAGATGCATTGATTCCTTGAACACTGGTAACCAGTGGCAAGCATTTCTCACGAGTTTTATTATTCCATGCATGGTGAAAAAGAAGTTGGTGTTTCTTTTGAATATTTATTGATAGACTCGAGAAAAAGGTAAGTATCCTCCACTGATAGGTCCAGATATGTAAAAAGCTAAGAGAGTTTGCAGAAGAGGAAATCTCAGAACGCTGTAAAATTTGAAAAGATTTGTTGTGCTGAAAAGCAGGAGTCCTGCAAGAAGCGCTGCGGTTGTTCCTGGCTAATGCGCTCAAAGCTGCAAAGCGCTGCCGGCACACTGCTGGAGCCACGGCGACACCTGGGTCTTGTGAAGCTTTTGGAGGGAGGCAGAGAAGAACCCTTTCGTGAATGTCTTGGCAATTCGAAGATCAGTAAAAGGGGAAAGTAAGTAGTTGTATGACCTACCGTTTTTGAGGAAGAATCAAACCCACGAATACCTGGGTTCGGGAAGGCTGCTGAAGCACTGTGTCCAGATAAGGAGCACGTATCTTGTTTGTGTGCCTGACTTTTTCTTTTGGATCATCAGACTGCAGTAATGGCCACGGCGGTGCGAATCCTGCCGAGTCACATCCCCTGCCCTTTTAGGAAGTAAACCAAAAGGGATTTGCCTGCAAGCCGTTCCCGGGAGAGCGTGTGGCTGGAGCGGGGGGCAGAGCAGCGCCTCGGCGAATGGTTCCTGCAGTTACGCTTGTGTAGCAGAAGGAAATGTGAAGTGGTTGGAGGCCGCTGAAAATAAAGGCACACCAGACTGTTTTCCCATCTAAAGCTGAAGATAAGTAAGCCCATAAACTGGACTCTAGGGTGTGTGAAACCTTTTTCAACGTCTGAAATTCTTTATTAGTTTTAACTACTTCTTTGGAGTTGAAATGTATTGATACTGGGGATTTTGCAGTAATACAGCCGGGTTCCAAACTGACCGAGATTCTGCTGTAACAAAACTTACAGATACTTCATAAAATAGTTTGCCCCCAGCTATTTACAAATATCGATTAAACACACAAGAAACAGGATGGACAGCAGAGGAGTAGGAAGATGGGAAAAGTACCGTAGTGCTAGCGATGGGCAAGTGGATGGTGGTGCCTGGGGAGGTTCGCAGTGGAGCCGCCCGTGCTGGGGAAGGGGATTGTGTTATTTGGGGGTTCGCAGTGGGGGGGTGAGAGGGTTATGTTACTCTGGGGCTTTCTGTGTTTTCTGCTTTTTTGAAGGGGAGAGCGTCCCATCTTTGCAGAAGGCAAGGGTGCTTACAGGCGATAGCAAACAGGCGGGAGGTCAGGATTAGCAACAATGATGAGAGAGAGGTGATTTTTATTAGAAAAGTCTAAAGTAGAACTCAGCTAATTGAAAGAAAAAAATAGCTATTACTGAGGGAAACAAGATACCCATAAGAGCTATGCTTGCCTGTGACATACCGTGCTCTTTCAGCCCACTGTGCTCTTTTCACTGTCAGCTGCACTGAGAAGCGTTATCAAAAAGTTGGGATCAATGGAAATTATCTTTCCCCTATAATTTTCAGAAAGTGAAGCTGCAGTAGTGGCTCGATTGCACGGCATTGTAGACAGCGCGGTATTTGTTTGACAAAATAAATGTTGGGGTAGCACAATAGGGTATAGTGTTTGTTACCACAATGGAAAAAACCCTTTAAAATAGCCTAAAAATACTGCAAAGAGGAGGTCACAGAAAAGGCACACTGAGAATAGATAGTGTGTGCAGAAACCAAAAGATGAGCAGGATAAAGAGTAAAGTAGGAAATGCTCTAAAAGGAGAAGAAGTGGAGAACAAATTGAGAGAGAAATAAATGTGGAAATTTTCAACATGTAGAAGAATTAATTTAGGAAAACTAGAATTTTACTTGTGGTACCATCACATTTGTGTGCCTAATTTAAGTTTTACTGTGGACTTAATAAGAAGCAACATAAAGACTGGCTGGTGTTTTTCATGGGATTTCAAAATAATTAAAGGCTGATGATCATCTGTAGAACCTTTCATAGTGAGGGTGCCAGGCACTTTAAAACTGATTGCAAGGATCATCCGTTGACTGCAATCTACTGGGTCTTGTCAACACATTAAAAACCAATAAGAAATAAAAAAGAAACCCATCATCTTGCCATCAGTAAATCTTTTTAGCGCTTACTACTTAGTGAATTGGTAACCTGGAGTGCTCCTGAAGATGCGGTTTCACGGAGCTCCCAATCGGGGACTCACCTGAAGCAGATTATGGTCTTGACATCCTTCTGCTGAAGCCCTTCGTGGTGAGAGGAGATGAGAATCTTACACCCATCACAAGATTTTTGGTACTTTGACAGGGCCACGACTTTCTGTCTGCAAAAGCCAAAGATAGCAAAGTGGGGAGATCAGTTGCCCGTTTCATGGGGTATCTGCCAGTGGTTAGATGCCTTGCTCGCCACGGCCCTCGTGCATTCTGCTGCTTCGCGGGTTGGATCTGTGGGCAGAGGAATAAAAATCCCAGAATCTGAAAGGACTTAGGCTGCAACGTATTGAATAGTTGGTTTAGTTTGTGAAATAGCATGGTCTTAATATAGTAACCAGGCCAGAGTACACATTGCAAAGCAGTGTCAGATGCTGATGGAGGCATCTTCTCGGACATGTTCTCCAGGGAAGAATATGATCATGAGTAATTCTTTTTTTCCCAATTCATCATGAATTCGGAGGCAGCCTCCATTCATGGGTTTTAGAGTTCAGTTAGCATTGACTTTGAGTTGTAAGGTAACTGAAGGAGGATAATAAATATTCAGTTAAGAACCAGCTATCCTAATATATTCTCACCGGCATCCAGCTCATCTTTCTTTTCTAATTTGAAAGGAATTTCTCTTTTTTCATTGTTTTCCAATTGATATTAGTATTTTACTTTATACTTAAAATGCATCCCAATGTACTACAAACCATGTAAATTCACAGAGGGAGCAACTTCCTAACGGAAAAAAAAGCCTTTATTGCCTGTTTTATACTGCTAAAACTAAGAGGGCCAGAGCTGAAGATTTTCATTGGTTTACTAAAAACTAATTGTTTATTTCATTGTTAGTAAATATTAGTAATTGTTAGTAATTGCTAGTTACTAATTTATATTAACTGTAAATATATGTGTGAGGCCTGTCCCGGGTGGCCTTGCCTCCTATTTAAAACAGTGTTAATCTGAATTTTAATTTGAATGTGCCTTGAGAATTGTTCCTAATTCTGCTTGGGAATGTCTTACAGAAGTAGTAAAAAAATTGCACTGGAGTAATTAGCCACTAGGTTACATATGGATGGATTGTTGGTGAGTTAGAATAGAAAAACAGAACTGCCAGGTTACTTCTGAGCTCTCATACAGCATTCTCTGGCCTCCCGCATGGCTGAAGTGAGTTTGGTGGGTGTAATAACGTGTTACGACTGTATTTTGTAAGTCAGTGTTGGACTTTAACCACCGTTTAAACGCAGGACTCGGGCCAGCGGTCCATTCTGGTGTGTTTGGCAGCACTTGTCACCAGCCTTTCACTCTCCCTTAGATGATCCCCGGGTAGTTGCTCCGGGGGGACTAGTCAGCACAACCAAGTGAGATTAGTTAGCGCAACCTTCTGTGAAGGATGACAAAGAAACCAGAAGTTCGTATCTATCTCCGCCCTGTGTTTCACCTTGGCTTTGCTCATAATGAGCAAACAGTTTGAAATCTGCCGTTCCAAACCCGTTGCCTTTTCGGAGCAGAGGGGAGGGGGCCCCGCTGCAGCTTCAGCAGAGGGGCAGGGAGGGCAATTCCCCGCGCGCAGGTTATTCACCTGCTCCGGGGTCCTTGTCCTTCCCCTGCCCTCCCCTCAAAATGCAGTGCCTGTGTCCAGGGGATGCTGGGAGCAGAAGAAATCCCTTAGTTGGATGTGATTGCCCCTTGGTTTAATTCCTGATAGAAACACCAGACAGTCGGTTTATTTCTTCATCTTACATCTTTTTGGGTTTTGTACTTTAATTTTTCAATATTACAGCACAAAAAAAAACCCCACTTGTTCACCTATGTTGTGTCTGTACTAATTTCTCATGTATGGTGTAATGTAACTGGGTATCTCTGAATATTCTAGTACTGTGCATTCTTTTTACACTTCCCTGTTATCTGATTACACATGTATTACCCTGCTCTTTGTAATCGTCAACTCACTTTTGTCATTCTTTTCAAAAACAGAAATCACCTGCAAAGAAGCTGAGCCATGCAATTAGTAAATCACTTGGTTGTGTACCCAGTAGAGAACCGCCTCGTCCTGTATTTCCTGAGCAGCCAGAAAAGCCACTTGATCTTGCACATATAGTGTGAGTATTATTTTAATCTATTTTTCACTTAATCAGTGATACAAAGCAAGGTATCTGTGGCAGTATTTGACTTTGGAATAGGCTAGCAGAAAGGAGCCCGTAGATTGGAATTCTAAAGCTGCAATGCTGTAACTGTTATAAGTATTTCTCTGAAAAATTATTTGAAACATGATCTTTTGTTAAGAATATCTTGTTAACAAGAAAAGAGATACGGAATGTATTTACATGTGGTTGGACTAAGGCCTACTGTCTATTCTACTTGCATCTATTAGCATTTCAAAGTACTAATCAGTCTTACCTTTTGCACATCACCATATTGGATCAGACTATTTTCTCATTTATAGTGGATTAAAATTATGTAGCAAAACAAAAATAAACATATCTACTTGCAGGTGAACGTTGCCTAATGTCAGCAGGGGTTAGCTTGCTGCTGCTGCCTGCGAGCACTGGCTTTACATTCTTATTTGTCTCACTGAGAGGTTTGTTATGTTTTTCTGCTCAATGGCACTATTGTTACCCTTTCATTCTGACCTTATTGTCAAACCAGTGGAATGGTTTTAATCAAATACCGTTGTACTGGTGTTGGTTTGAAGAGACTTGAAATCAGTCTGCTTCCCCAGTTTATTGCCTCAAAAGCAAAACCTGAGACAAGACAAATCCGAATAAATTCTGTTACTGTATATCTATAATAAACTGAGCCTCCAAACAGATGTGTTTTAATGTCCCACGGAGTTTTGGGAAAAAGTCTGTCTTTTCCTATATCTAAATTTAAGCACGTGCTATAGGGAAGAGGAGAGGAGCAAAGCAAAGGGATAGAATTGATGTAAAATGGAGGACTCCGTGAGTATTGAGTAACTTGCAGTTCTGCGAGTAAGTGGAATTGGTGCTCTTCTGGTTTTCTTTTGACGTCATAAATACCAAATTCTTCTTGAACTGTTTTCTCTGTCACAATTTCTGAATGGAGACCCAAGGTGTTCCCGTCTGGCGTTCTTACAGTGTCAGGAGTTGCTGCTTTGGCCTTTCCTAACGCCCTGTGATTTTGGTTGACTGGCTCTTCTGTGCGCTCCTCTTAACAGTTGTGGCAGACGTTAAGAAAAAGCTGGAGGCTAGCTTGTCAAAATGTGGGAAAGGTGAGAATTGTAAAGCTCATCATAGTGTGGTAAAACACTCGTGTGGCTTTCTTTTGTGAAAAGCATAGAAGATCCCTAACTTGACACGGAGGAGTGGTTGTGACGCTAGACTCCTTAACAGCCGAGTTTTGAGCTTTACCAATTTCTGCTTAGCTGTGTGATCGTTTTTTTCCAGTTCTTGCTTCACTGGATGTTTGCTGACTTTTATAACGCTTGCTTTAATCCTGTGCAGTGAGGGGAGTTGATCTGATTTAATGGAATATAGTTGCTCTCATTTTTCTCTGTGAAATTGCACTCAAACTTAAAAAAAAAAAAAAAAAGTCTGTGATGCTACTGTTCAATTTAGAGGCGAAGTCTGTGTTCTCCTACACGAATTACCTGGCCCGCATGGACAGGGTTTTACACTGTCCACAGAATTAGCTGCATGCCTTGGCCAGGATCTGTCGTGGAGCTTGTCGCTTTGCTTTAAATCTGGATTTTCCATAGTAAGGGTGCTGCTCAGCCTCATAGAAAACAATTTTGTGTTTAAAATCTTATCAGATCATGAATCCGTTCACATTTTTCTTTCCACATTTTCCTCTGTGCTGCTTCCGTGTTGAAACGCACTAACACTCACTAGAGAAGACTAGTCATCTGCAATGTAATACTTCTATAAAAAAATAATACGTAAATGCCGAAGTACAAGGTATGAAAATAATTGCAGCAATGGTACCGTGTCTGCCTGCCTGAAGGAAGGCTGCAGAAACTGATCCCAAAACTACGAGCTGAAATTTTACTTCTGGCACAGATCACCAAGTCTGGCAGATGACTCCTTTCTTTTGCGAGGACTCATTCATTCGTTAACGCATCGAAGGGGTTTCAGTCCTCAGCTGGACACGGAAGGGCAAAGGCAGAAGCGGGTGGCTCGCTGCGGTGGTTTGTGTTTTCCATACGTGACCCATGGAAGGTGCCAGGTGGAGAAATGCCTCCAACCTTGCTTTTTGCCTGCCGTCAGTCGCGGGGGATCCCGGCACAGAGAGCCCGAGCCCGGCGCCGCGCGGGGAGAGGGGCCCGGGGTGCTCGGGGCGGGACCTGGGGGCACCCGCGTGGGGAAGGCAGGTGATTTATATCAAACGCTGTCACATGAAAATAACATGAACGTAGGTCTAAAAAGACCTACTGGGTTTTTATATAAGCGATATAAAACCTTTGGGGTTTTCTGCATAAGTGATACCATTGAAATATAAAAAATAAATTAAAAAAAAAAAAAAAAAGGCATATAGGAAAAAAACCCCACACCACTGTTTTTAAGTGTGAAAAGTGACATGGCCAGCAGAGATTCTTTGATAGAACTCAACTTACAAAGAGGAATTGCTCAGGGCCATAATGAGTCATTATTTAGGGGTCAGTGATCACGACTTAATTACATTTGTTTCATGTAAGCGTGCACATCAACGTCTAACAAAGGCTCTAGAGGAGACTGTCTCACAGAGCTAAAATCACCCTCAGCTGAGTAAATAATGTGAATGTAAAATATTAGTAAGTAGCAACAGTTTAAGAATAGTTGGCCCAATGTTCCAGGGAAAACAAGGCTTGGAAGGGAAGGAAAAACAGGTATACTTGTCAAAAGAAGGGGAAAAGACAAAAGATTGGTAGCAAAGAATGTAAACTAATGGTTCAGAAGTTGTTTGAAAATTGTTTCCAGGTTGTGGGTTTGGCAGGGGGGCAGCGGTTGTGCAGCACACTGCTGGTGAGCCACTCACCTCCCAGGCACAGCCCAGAAGGATGCTGAATTGCGTGGTTGATGTTTTCAGTCCAAACTGCTTTTTGAAAGAATTTCTTAATTTGGATACTTGCTGCTGATTGTTGATATGTCTTGGAGCCTTGGAAAGTTCCCAGAGCACTGGAAGAAAATTCCTATGATCTCATTGCTTTTTTCAAGGTGGTGGCGGGGTGGGGAATGAAGTCAAACAGGGCAATCTCTGACACGTTACGTTTACCAACATGACTTTGATGGTGAATAAAATAATTGAGCAGTAGATAAGCTATTTTGTTGATCAGGAAATAAAAAGGGAACTCATGCCAATCAAGCATAGGCCCTTGGCAATTTGGTACAGTCAGACTCAGTTTGTCTCTTTTTTCAGGAGATTAATTTTGATTAATAAAGTGATATTGTTGGCTTAATGCATTTATTACAAGCACTGAATAATTTAGAAAGCATTAATCAATACAGCACATATACAGCAGATTGGAAAAAAAAATTGTTTAGCTCATTGTCCTCAATATAATTTCAAAAAGAAGGTTGATGAATAGGGTGTGTTTTCAAGCGGAGCCCTGCAGAGATCAAGCCTCGCTTCTCTCCTATTAACAGTTGTTTCCATGACCGGGAGGAAAATGTATAAAATCACTGCTGATCGGCTAGATAGGCAAATGAGGAAAAGATTGGGGGAACAAAGAAGATGAAAAGGACAGTATGCTGGGCAGAATGACAAAAAAGAATTTTTGAAGGTCATGGTATGTAATTGGCTGAATGTGCATTTTCAGGGCAGTTTTGTACCCAGGATGCTCACGGGATCTGGGCGTGCCAGCCGGAGAGCTCACCCTTCGTGCTTGGTGGCGACGGGACCCTCGTCGGAAAACTCTGTAGTTCCAGCACCCACAATCAAGCCAAATGTTGAAAGACCAAAGGGTTTGGGAAGGTCAATGAAAATGATTAAAGGACTGGAAATAGATAGGGGAAGATGCATAGCTTTACACCCAAAGGCTCAAGTAATGCAAGTATAATACACAGAGGTTGAGGAATGATTTGGTAGGTCTAAAAATATCTGTCCTAGAGAAATTAAATATAATCCCAGGGAGCTGTAGCAGATAGGCTTAACAAAAAACACAGAGCAGAGGTTGAAGCTAGACAAATTCATAATAGAAATAAGAAATATGTTTTCAATAGTGAATATAAGCAAATAATTGTTAGAATAGATTACCAAAATAAAAAATGGTGGTGGAATTTCCACCACTGAAGCTTTAAAACCAGGAGGAGAGTGTTTTAAAATCAAGTAAGAATTCCAGTCAGTCTTATGTTCTGTTTGACAGAAGATCTATTATTAGTGTTTCCTTATAGCTTTATGAGATATGAAAAATGCGTACAAAAATTTTAATGTAGTCTGAGGGTCAGGAGTTTTACAGGATCCATTTATTGCTAGAGCACCGTGTATGTGCTCCATAAGGCAACTACGGATTTGCTTTACTTACATTTCCAAAAATTACTGAGTGTTTCTGAAGCTACCTCCAGCTCTCCTTACCTGCACTCCCGCAGCCGTGCTGGGTTGGAAATGTAAAAAATGGAAATGCTGCTATTTTGGTGCATTCTGCTTCTCTTCCCCTTATCCCTCTCCCTGCATCCTCCCCCACTTTGTAAGCTGTGTCTAGGTGGGAGTTTCCTGGCTGCTCTAGAGTAATTCGGGGTGACTCATACCCTTTTTTAGGTGTCGGCTTTCTGAATCCGATAGCTGGAACCCACGGACTCCGAAGGGCCCCCCCTTTTTAAGGACTTACAGTCTGTACGGTGGAAAAAATAACAGGCGTTTAAAAACAATTTTGAGTTTATATTTGCAGAGATGGTATTCGACGTGGATCCGTTTTCCTGGGAGAAATCATTGAGAGTTTTCCTTCACTGCGCTGTTGGTTTGGGTTTTGACACGACCCTTTTCCCCTGGCCCTGGAGCCCTCGAGCGCAACCCCCGCCCGTGAAATTTGGAAACGTTACCCCGAGGTGGATCCTTTCGGTGACACAACCCTGCTGCACAGGGCGTGAAAAGTTAACTGTTCTTAACCCAAATAACCCCGCCGGCAGGAGCCACCACGGCCGGCATCGCCCGGCGGTCACCGGCGCGG